TGCGTGGAAGGGGGCTTCCCTCAAGGGCCGCTTGTGGTCCTCCCGTTGAGTCAGCTGATTGGCTGCTTTGGAAATAGGACGTTGGGATGTGCAGGCGCCTGATCGGACCCAGCATGGCCCTTATTTCTCCAAAACTTTGGGCCATATCCAACTCAAATTGTTTGTACAAACAGTTATACATTATATTCATAGAGCTAGTTGTGAAACCAATCGTGCAAAATTCTTGGGAACCACTTGTGAAACTCACTGTGCAACCCTTGGCACATTCTGCTTGTTGTGTGTGTATAACGGACAACTGCAGGCACAGCAGAAAGATGCAGAGGTCTCAGAGGTCTATTTGAGCTTGTGGAAGGAGACCTTCCTGTACACACTCTTCTGGGTGCACATCCTGGCTTCTCCAGTGGAAGGTCAAGCTTGGAACAGATTTCAGAAAACCTCCCTCTTCCAGAGCCAACAGTCCAGCATTCTCCATCCTGATGCTTAGCAGATTCAGAATGCTGGGCATGGTAACTCAACCCATCTGGAAGGCACCAGAGCGGAGAAGAAATTCCACTCACGGTCCTTCCTTGTAATGCGGCTTCTGGAGCTCTTCTTTTCCCCTGTAAATATGGTGCTTTATAAGGTCTGTGTCATTTGTCTTAAGTAGGATAGCCTCTCGAATCCTTTTTTATATCTAAGACTACAATTGTTCGGTGCTAAAGAGGACATTTGCCAGTGGGATTGTCTGGCAGAAAGGCGCTGAGCCCATCAAATTTCTATTGATTTGGGGAGGAAGACGTAGCGACTAATCAGCAGTCTTCCTTACTGTCCACGCATTTCAGAAAGAGACGTCTCATTTGGCGGCTGCTGCTTTCAGAAGCATTCAAGGCCCATTCAGGAAGGGCTTTGTGGTGGGAAGAATAACTGCGCAGCCTTGATTTTCAAGAGCTTTCCCTAGATTCAGACTTTGTATCTGGAAATTGGTCTCAGCGACCGAGGCTGAACTGCACAGCCGTTCCAGCCCCAGAGGCTATGCACGCCCACGGCCTTCGGCTGTGGGGCAGGGGGGCAGGAAAGCGCCTGCGCTTTCATACACACGCCCATGAGCACACCCTGGAGGTGCATCTCCCTTTTAGGGGGGTCTTTTCTTTCTTTCCTGGGAGTCTTCTCTCCACCCCGGTGGGCCGATGCTACAGGAGAATTGACTGATGAGGGCTGAAAAGCCATCTGTCGGGGATGGTCTGGTGCTGGATTTTGGGTTCAAGAGGAGCTTGAATTCTATGACATCCCCAAAGAAATACAGATGGTCTGAGGAACACCAAACACTGTCTGGAGCGACAGTTCCTTCCCACGTTAGGAAGTTCTAGCTGCTCTCTCAGGCAGTGGGGGCGGCAGCGTTCTCCAGGGGCTTCCATGCGCTTGGGGCTACCTGGACCAGGAGAGCGTGGGCTCCCTTCATCTCTCCCAGTCTCTCTGGGAGGGGCCAGGCAGGGGCCGCTCAGACCTGGGGAGGGGGATGTTCCAGCCCTGCCAGCTACGAAGCTCCGCTTGCCGTCGTCTGCCCCCCGCCTGCCTTCTTGGTGGTGTGTGGAGGAGGTGGCAGGGGGACCTCATGCTGTTTTGGTTGCTGCCTCATAAATCGATCGAAGTTAATTTCACACCCCTCCTCCATCTCTGGCCCATTTGATACAAATTAAATTTCACGCTGATCAGCAGCAGCACCAGGTGGAAAAGGCCTTGTGCTTGCATGGAGGGCGGCTGCGTGAATCCCACCTCTCTTGTCCTGCTCGCGGCTTGGCATGCGGGTTCGGCCCTTCGGTTGACGTGCTCATTTGGACACCCACAAGCCTAATTCACAAGCTGCCCTGAGCCCCCAGAGGGGAAATTGCTGTAGCCGAAGCAAAGGCAGCCTGAGCCCATCTTAGAACGATGCCGTAAACCTCACCTACAAACACATCCTTGATCGACTTGCCCTGGCTCCATCAGCCAGAGAGACCCCCGAGGGACCTGTTTGCATTGCGAGATGAAATATTGTGACTCTGCAGCATTCAGAGTGATAAACATGAGACTACAGTTCAGTGCACGTGGGGTGCAAATAGCCGCAGAATATTGAGTGTCGCTTCTGGGGGTTAGGAAGCCAATGCCCATGGCGACTGGGAGCTGAATGGAGTCTGTCCGAAACCAAGAAGAGGAGCATCTCCGTGGGAGGTGAGGTCCGTATCTCCCACAAAGTTCTGTTGCGGGTCCCATTTGCTATAGTTGCTCTGGGCAGCGCAGAATTTGTCTTCCGTGTGGCTCTGCTCTCATCAGGATGCGCACGGTCTTCGGCAAACTGCTGAAGCGAGCCCTCCATTAGAGGCCCACTTCAGGTTGCTTTGCTGGCACAGCAGCGATGGCTATTTCAAGACCACAATTATCTCTCTCCGCCTTGTTTTCTCCCCTGCACTTCCTTCCCCTAGAGCACCAAGAGTGGAGAATTAGCAATAACGCTTTCTGCTGAGTAGGCCAGGCAGATGAAGAAGGGGGAAGCGAAACCGCCCTCGCCGTTCCCTGGGGCTGCTGCCGGTGTGGCGCTGTGGAGCTGGGGAGACCTGGCTGGCTGGGATGGATTGGGCCCCTGGAGCTGCTGCGGATTCCAAGAGGGCAGGGAAGGGGAGAGCACGCAACCAACCAGACATCCACACTTTCCAAAGGATGAGCTCACGGTTTGCTTCGATGAGCCTGCTGTTAAGAACACAACAGAACAGGGTTCCCAAGGCAGCCCAGCCCTCTCTGCACACACGGGTATCTCTTCCAAGCGTCAGTGCCGGGTTTTTGTGGTTTTGTGCCACCAGTCATGAAGAGACCTGATGCATCTTGCGATAATACTGTTTGTGAGCTGACCTGTGTTTGAGGCATGAGTGAAGAATTGGGGGCGGCAGCATAACACTTGGGCTTTGCAGCACAAAACTTGGCATGTGTTCAAAAGAGATGTGGCGGGGGACATATACGAGGAGCCCTTCTAGCAGAAATGCAAAAGCAGAGCCAGGTTGCTTGTGAAATGATGGTGGAGCTGGGGGAATAACCCCCCCCCAAAAAAAAACCCTGGGCAACTGGGCAAGAAAGCAGCAAAGAGGCTCAGCACAAGTGAGCACAAAGCTGTACGCCTTGGGACAAAAAACGAAATAGTGTCTCAGCTTCCCACCTGAACTGATGGGGTCCAAGCTGCCAATGACCCAGGAAAGAGAGTTACGATCCTGACAGAGAGTCCACCAAAAAACGTTGCTTCAGGGTTGAGCAGTGCTGGAAACAACACGTTCCATCCCGGGAGTTCTTAGGAAAGGAATTGAAAATAAAGCAACCGGCATTATGGCCGGGGTGGGAATTCTCTGGCACTCCACCTGGTGCTGGAGAACAACTTGCCAGCTGGCTGGGGTTGATGGGAATGGAGTCTGATCAAGGGCCCTCAGGTCCCTAGTACTCTCTAAACAACCTTACCACGCAGCCAGATTTGGCCTCCCGAGCCTAGAACAAAGCCACATTATTAAACTGTAGACCTGGAAAAGGTACAGTTAGTGGTAGAAAGCCAATGTTATATGTAAAGTGATGTTCTTTTGTATTGTTGTGTTTTAATGGAGGCTTCAACACAGGATATTTATTAATGTGGGCATGGGTTGCCCTGTCTCTAAAAATTTCTTCAGTAGTAGTCCTGCAAGTCTGGCCCTTGCAGGAGAAATAAGATTGCATTGCTATCATCAAAGGATGCCTCCGGAGCTCAGAATCATTAAGGCTTAATGTGCTAAAAGAAAAAAACATGGCTAGACTTCATGTTCATTTAAGACAGATAAGCAGTGAAAGTGCCTTTGTCTTCAGGTGTTTGTAAGTTTGGTGGCTGACTCTGACTCCTAGGCATGACTACTCCGACGTCAGCCCGGCTGGGCTCAGTGGGACTTGTCTCCAGCTACAGGATTCCCGCTGGAATCTAAATAAACTATCTGCTCACCTCTGCGGAGCTTATTACGCTTATCTAAATTGAATGTTTCACCCAAATCTCATGGTAGCCCTGCCCAGGAGGACCCCGTGTGGCTGAAGCACGTCAGGGTTACATTGCCAGTGTCTGGTGTCTCTTCTTTATCTGTACAATAACCGCTCTGAGTTTGTTGGTTTTGCCCTCTCTTTTTCATCTGCTCCACACCTTTTTTCAGGAAGGGGAACTGAATCACCACTTCTTGGTTGCCTTACAACAGAGCCTGGTTTTGGTTTAAAGCTGCATCTTTTCCCATATATGTTCTTTCTCTGGCTTCCTTCTTTTCAGTTGGTCCATTGTTTCTTTAGTCTCTTTTCATATTTGACTTGGGAGGTGAGGTATGTCTTTGAATTGTTGCCATGGTGAATTTTTATGTAGTAAGTGAGGCGATGCTGATGATATTTTTCTCTCCCTGTATATCGAGTCTTTCAGGGACTTAAAAAATAGCCTAGGGAAAATTCACCCTCTACCATTCTAGCCTGGTTGGGCAATTCATCTGCCGCTAGAGCAGCAAGGGCGAGACACACAGGAATAGGCAGCAAGTCTGTTAACTTCGTGGCATCACAGTAGCCTAGAATAGGAGAGTTGGAAGGGGCCAGTAAGCTATGAAGGCCATTGGGAAGGGGCCATGAAGCCACGAAGGCCATCGGGTCCAGCCCCCTGCTGTGGCAGGACACCACATTTCCACATCCCACTGAGAGGGCTGTCATGCCACAATGGCTCATCTTCGAACTTCTGGGCAACTATCAAAGCACCATTCCAACACCCTTGTTCAATATTTTTCTAGTTATATGAACAGGAGATGGAAATTACAGTGTGTGGGCTTTGTTTCTATCTACAGGACTAATTCATCAACCTCTCTCTTTCTCTTTGGATCAGAAGTGATGTCTCCATGAGGCATTGAAAGCCAATTCAGTTTATTTATACACGTCGTCCTGTGCTTTCCTGAAATCAATGCTTTATTCCCTTCTTTACATCAACAGCCTGAGAGATCAATAGCTATTTACTTTTGAAAATGGAGAAGTGCAGCTTGTCCAGCGAGGCTCCACAGAAAGGAATAGAAATCTTTCTCTTGGCTGGCATCACACCGGAAGATTCTTCCGAATCCTCAAGGGGCCTGGAGATTTGGGGTGATGAAGAATGGCGGGTAGAGGCCTGCTCAAAGAGGGAGAGCAAACGGACCCACTGTGCGTGAACAGAAGACCAGCAGCTGGGTTGGCCGCATGCCCAACTTTATTTAGCCACCGACAGCCATATTATCGATGGAATTCTCTAATCCCCTTTTTAAATCCGTGCTTGCTGCACCTAGTCGTGGCCGTAAATTCCGTAGTTAAGCATAGAAAGAAGACCTTCCTTCTGAATCTGCACATCCTTCATCTTCATCAGAAGAGCCCAGATCAAGGCCAGCCCTCCCATGGGGCAGAGGAGTGGAAGGAGCAGCCATTTGTGGCCCCTCCCTGCCAGGAGATCCCCCCACCCCATTTCTGCAGGGTGGTTTTTCCGTGGGTGCTTCTGCTGGCCACGCTCCCACTGTGGCCAGGAGAACAAGGTGGTGGGATCCCTGGAGATGCCACAGACCCGGTGGTACCACAGCAGGCCCCCTACTCATTCTCCTGATGCAGCCAATGGCACCGTGGACGAAAGGATGCCCCGGGCCCTCCAGTTTAGTCCAGCAGCCCCGCAAAGTGAGCCGGAGAGCGAACATCTGGGCTCTTCAGAACAGCTGCCCCCTGCCACCTCCGAGCATGGCAGGAAGGGCTGTAAGTGGCCCTTCCTCACTCAGCGCTAGGCATAGCGGGAAGGGTCTCGCAGGGGAACACTGGCGCCTCTCTTCGCCTGACTTCCGTCGACCCGCATTCGCCCTTCCAGTGCCTGTTCCCCCAGCAACACACCTTCATTTCCTGTCACCGTATTTTTCACTCTATAAGACGCACCTGACCATAAGATGCACCTAGTTTTTAGAGGAGGACAACAAGAAAAAAAATATTCTGAATCAAATGGTTTACTAAACTATTTAATAAACTATAACAGAATACAGTA